GGGGGGGGGGGGGGGGCGGCCCCTCCGGCGGCCCCCCCAGCCACTCTGTGCTTGGGGCAAGCCCCCTCGAGGCAGGAGAAGGCTTATTTGAATGCTGGCCGCTGGCACCGCATTGGGGTGTGCCTGGCCCAGCTGCAGCTGTGGCTGGACCTGTGGTCAGGGCCAGTGGCTGCATAAGCCTCCTCCTACCCGGAGGGGGCTTGCCCTGAGCACAGACTGAGCGGCAGGGGCCAGACCCCACCCCCACCCGGCAGCTGGAGCAGCGAGCGGTGAGTGAGATATGGTGATGGGCAGCAGCCCGTCATCGCTTCCTGGAGCATGAACCCTTTCCTGGCAAGGGCTACTCTGCGGGTTGGCAGAGCTGCTGGGGAGTGCGGCAGTGCTGCGCGAGGCTTGCAGGGCTCTGGCCCACTTTGGACCCCAGTGCTGTCACAGCTCTGCTGGTCCCACAGCGCAGCACCCCCACCAGGAAGGGGCTTGCTCCCCCATATTGACAGGGGCTGCTGCCCCCTCCCATTGCAGCGGAGGGGTGGGGGCACAGCCAGGCAGGGCCCCTGGGGGGGGGAAGGGAATGCAGAAGCAAGGATGGGCAGACTCGACTCAGTAGAGGGAAGATTAACTCTCCTCCCTGCCCTCCTCTGCCTCAGGGGCCATGGTACTCGCTGCTGCAGCAGCGAGGGGGGAGCGCCCAGTAGATCCGGCTCGGGTCCCTGCCGGTGGGATAGAGAGGAGGAATTAAACTCCTCCCTGCCCAGACCCTCGTCCCTGCCTGCCTCTGCCCTGGCTGGGGGAGCAGACAGGAGGAGTCAGCCTGGCTAGGCTGGAGCAGAGAGCTCAGTCCGGAGAGCATGCTGGGATGCTGGGGGTCTCTGGTTTATCTTTAACCAGCCAGGGGTCTGTGACAGACATTGCATAAACTGGTTTGAGTCAAATCAGTTAAGTCTGATACTAAATTCAACCAGGTTCATCTCAAACTGGTTTTAGCCATTTTGAAACTGGTTTATGTGCACTGAACATCTGATCACTTAAACTGGTTTATATGTAATGTCTGTCCCCAGCCATGGGGGACTTCAATCACCCTGACATCTGCTAGGAGGGCAATACAGCAGTGTGCAATCAATCCAGAAAGTTTTTGGAGAGTGTTGGGGAAAAATTCCTGGTGCAAGTGCTGGAGTGGCCAGCTAAGGGCCATGCTCTTCTTGACCTGTTGCTCACAAACAGGGATGAATTGGTGGGGAATGTAGTAGAGGATGGCAACTTGGGAAACAGTGACCACAAGATGATTGAGTTCAGGAACATGAGGAAAGAAAGGATGGAGAGCAGCAGAGTAAGGCCCCTAGACTTCAGCAAAGCAGACTTCCAACTCACTCAGGGAACTCATGGGCAGGGTCCCCTGGGAAGCCAGACTGAGGGGGAGAGGAGTCCAGGAGAGCCAGCTGAAT